AAACCCCAAAACCCCAAAACCCCACAACAAAGATTTAGCAAGATTTTTTGATTTATTTTTAATGTATTTAATTAATTTTAGAACTCATAGGCTCTTTTTCTTGATAGTTAAGCAATATATATCCAAATATTAAGTTATTTGAGCAATAGTAGAAACAACAAACTTTGAAAAGGCTACTAAAGTGAATATAAACACAAACATGGCAACACAGGATTCTGGAACTAAGTTTGAGCCTACTGCTCCAGCCATTTAGAGTTTGGCAAGTCCAGCTAAAATAAAGTCTTAACTAAAAATTAAACTACTTACGAACAAGGGTTGCTGCATATTTATTAGCAACAAATAATAGAAATACTAAAGGAGATAATTAGACTGGGCTAAAGCTCATCTATAAAACAAATTTATAAAAAGAAATTTACATGACAGACTGAGCAAACGATATGTTTGCATGTCATTAGACAATAGCTAGGGAATAAGAGTAATATTGATAGAGCAGGATTATTTAATCCCCATTCAGTTGAGAAAACAATAATCATTTCAATCCAGAAAATGGGGAGTGGAGCTAAACCTAGTAATGCTTCTACTTTTGAGCATTTTGCAGCAGCTAAACCTGCCTATAGGTTGATGTAGGTGTATGTAACTGCACTATTAACGATAAAATGTATTGAATATACTTGTAAAAGATCATAATACTGCATATTCTGCAAAGTGTGAGAGTGCCAATGACTTCTGGGAACTAGTAAAATGGTAGTGCAGATTACACATTTACTTCAGCTAGCCATCCATCAGTAAGAGCAACACCATATAAATATGACAATTACATTAAGAGACCTATTATGCTCAAATTATAAAGTATAAATACCTTCAGTAACTCCCCAGTTTCCTATGCAAGTTCTAAAGATATGAGTATGAAATTCCTCCCATTATTAAGTGTAGAAAGTTAACTATTCAAATATTAAGGTTGCCAAATTTTAGTTACACTGAGTCCCCAAAAGAACAAGAAAAATGACCAGTCAACACCACATCTAGCAATTTAGCCAAAGACCACTAGTCCAAAGAAGAGAGTGACAGCATCACAACCTAAGGATATTGCTTAGATTTCAAATATTTACCATGGTCAAAGAGCTATCCAAGTGGAGATGATGTCCCTGTTCTTCTAGCCTACTTCCCATCCACTGCATCCAATGTCTAATAAATGAAGGAGCATGTTGCAGAGTAGAAGTACATCCATGCTGGAAACTTCTTAGTCAAGGTGGTATCTTCCCAGAGATAAATTAGGCACCCTGTCATGTTAAAGATTAGTCCGACTAATGTAATAAGATTTGGAGCCATATTCTAATTATAAAAGTTATCTCGAGGTATATTACCATTGGGAGTTGGTTGACAACCCATTCCCACCAGTGGTTCATTATTTCATCTAGCTTTGTTCTGCCGCCAGATATATATTTGTACTTCTTCAAATTAGCAAGTCCTTCAGGAGTGATATATCCCATACTAGTTTATTTCTTCACAAGTTTTAATTAATATTATAAATCAAACTTGCCAATTACAAAAATAATTTGCCATCATAATATTTAGATTAATTAATACTTTTCTCAATATATTAATGGAACTTTTAAAATGAATCATCTTAAGTTAATATAACACACTACTGATTCTTCAATATACATCTGAATTTCTCTTATGCTGCTTTTAATTATATGTTCAAATCTTCATTCCCTTCTTTGATAAATCTGCCTTTGCCAATTCAATTTATCCAACAAGTTCTTTGTGAGCATCATTACAATCACTTAAGGTAACAAGATGCCATCCAATCTGCGTTAAGGCATAAGAACCGAATAGAACTAATCCATATAGTGGTAACTACAATACCAAGAAAAAGTATGAGTGGTATGGATCCTTTTATAACTCTTTGCGAGTGCAGTCGCAGAATATGAGCGCAGTTAAAACAGACATCCAAACCAAGAATGAGGCTGTGGACCTCGACATAACTTCGTGTAAACGACGCATTTCTTTTTTATTAATGATTATAAGTTTAAATCTAGTTTGTAATTAAGAGTCAAATATCATCAATATAAATCAATCATATTGTGAAAGTATAATCAGAAAGTCTTAGTCTTTATAAAGAAGTCTCAAATAAATAAGGTGAATTTGTCTTTAGCTCTTCTCTTCATAAGGTTGAGTCCACTGAATTTTAAACATCCTGAATTTATTCCTCATCTGGATAGAACTTGTAATTGAATATAGAACTCTTCATCATTAAAACTTCAATCGGAATTTCCTCCTCAACTTCCTTTTCCTATTAAATCTTTTTAGTTTTTTTCTTCCTATTTTACACTTTCTAAGATTAGTCTCTCTTATTTAAATCTGCTTGCTAACTAAGAGGCTGCTATATTTCAAACTTAATTGCATTTTTGTTCTGTTTAGAGAGTTGAATCTAGAACTCATCATTGATTAGGTCCAATGATTATTCTTCTTTTAAAATGCCTTCTCCATCAGTCTCGGTAGTTTAAATCTCTACAGTATCCTATCTGGCTGATTAGGCAACTATCATTTAATCTCCTCCTACTGTAAACTCCTTGGATTCTGGCTTTATCATATGTTTTATTGATTTAGTTAAAAAAGACTGCGATAATCTATTTTAGGAAATACATGAGTCAGCTCTTGAGGATTGTTTAGATTTTCTTTTACCTCCTTTTGATGACTATACTCCTCCTTAGCTTTATAGATTTTTACTTTAAGATTCTCTAAGATATATATTTTCGACTGAAGCATTTTTCTATTTTTCCTTTTCCTAAGCTTTCTTCTATTTTTTTAAAAGTTTTTTTTGCTGCTTTTTTATCATCTTAAGCTACTTATTCTTATTCTCTACAAATTACTCATAGAGGGCAACACCTGCATGTTGCTAAGGTTGAATATTAATTTTCAACTTGGAAAGCTCATCACCATAGTTTTGAATCAAAAAGCTCTCTCTGCCCTATTTATTCTTGTCAATGCCAGACTAATCTCTTCTTGGATCAGATGTTGCAGCTTACCTTGAGGTCTACTGCTGCTATGATAATGAAGAGTCTTTATTGAGCATTTAATATTTATCAAATTTATCTTCAAGCTCCCTTTATGAAGATTCTACATCAAGCTGAGTATCATTCACATAATATTATGAATCTTTAGGGTATAGTTTCTTGAATCTCTTCAAAGCATCTGATCTGACTTTCTCCATATTTAATTGCTGTAGAGTCATATAGCCACCAGTATTGATTTAATTTTTTAGTTATCTTCTAAAGCTAACTGGGTTATCAAATTGTCTCTCTTAGCTAGGATTATGAATCATATTTGAAGTAGTATTCATACTTATATCAACAAAGCTTGCATTTTGATAAGAAATATCTTGATCCACATTTCTAAGATGTTTTGCAACTAGCTTTTATTTATGTTTATTATCATCATAACTATTCCTCTTCACTGTTTGGCTTCCGATAGTACTAGGAATTTCCTCCAGTCCACATTAAGATTTTAAAGCTAATTAAGCTCTTTTCTAATTAAGAAGCCTTTCTCTCTTTAGATGAATACCATTCTTATCATTTGACATAGATGTGTGATTGAATACATTAATTTTGAAACCTTTACTGTTGATATTCTCTTTTATTTATGCTATGGACATATTGTGTTTCTGGATCATTTCCTATAGTCTTTATCTTGGCTAGGATTGAGTCCTATTATATGAGTCAGTAGCTGATTCATTCTTTCGCTAATCATTGGTCTCTTCTAAAGTTGACTTGTTCTCCAATTAAGGATTTTCAAGTATTTAGTAATCATAATTTTCATTTTTTGCATAGAGGTATTATTGATCTGCAGCCGTTGAATCGCTCATATGCTTGGAAAAATGGAGAGTATTGTTATTTGAATCTGCAGTTTAAAGAATGGATTAAGAATTATGAGAAATATTGATAGATTTTTTCTTGTTCTTTGCACTTTTTAAAGATACAGGGGCAGTAAACTATGTCTTAATGTCTTGAAATTCCTCTTTTAATTTCATTATCCGTTGATATTTATAATCTAGGCCATCGAACATCTTTGTAACTTCTGGGATATTAGTATCAAGTAGCTTTTCAATCTATTTGTTGATTGCAGGCTTGATTTTATTTTTCTTTGCAGAGTTATTGATAGTATCTTCTGAGAGTAATTGCGATTTCTCCTTGATGTCTGGGAACGAAAGATCCCTCTAAGTAAGAGATTCATTTCGATCTCCTCCAAGGTAAGTCATATTCATTCTATTATTTTTTCTTTTGTTATTACTCTAAGTCAGAGTATCATACATACTATTATTCTATTTAGTGTGCATAAACACTTTACCGATTCCTTATGTTTATCTCATGGCTCCATAGCCAGTGTTAAACCCTTATTAGTCTCTTTTTGAACTTGAATTGTTTGCTATCTAATGAAGTGAATTCTCTTCGTAATCATTTTCTTCCGTTTAGGGTTTGATTTGTTCTCCATAATTATATAAGACATCATTCATATTTCTAAGTAATTCAAATGGATCTTCAAACTGAGACTCTTGTTTCCTCTCCATAAGATAATGCAAAATTTGGGATGCTTTTTTCCTATCTTGAGTGACATCTTTATTTTGGATGAGCTTGATTTTATTCAATGGTTATTGCATTATGAATTATTAAATTATTTTGATTTTTGTTAGTTAATTTAACTAATTTTTATTAATGGGGTTTTGGGGTTTTGGGGTTTTGGGGTTTTGGGGTTTTGGGG